TCAACAGTTTCGTGCACTGGTGAGGGTAATAGGTTAGCGGCTAAATCCAAAGCTTGTCCCGAGGTAGAAACTCTCCGAGGCCGCTGCCTCGACGCAGAGAGAGCATTTTGGCTAGCCTCATCTACACTTTCGCTTATTGCTGAAATAAGTTCTTCATTTTCTTCACAGTCCGAAGATGAACTGTGGTCGTCGATCCAAGAATCAAGAGTAGTCTGCTTTGCCAGCATAAATCGTTCAGAACGAGCGCGGATCGCAGCATCTGCATCAATTCGCACGGCCTGGAACCGCGCTCGATAAGCATCGAGCTGTTGCAATTCGGACAAAGGAAGCTGGCACGAAATAGCAAGATCGGCAAGTTTATCCGTGGTGGATAGATATAGGTCCTGACGAAAGTATAAGAAAAAAAAAGATGCCAATGTGAAATCTCGCGAATTCCGTACAAATTTTACACAAATGAACGTTCATACTAAGAAATTAAAAGATATACGAGAGTGGTAATAAAACTTTGGATATCTAAAATACATTTAAATTGGTATCGCACGCCTAATAAGATAATTCAAATGCTTTTTTTAGATAATAGAACATAAAGTTGATCTTTTAACTTGAGATGTTCTCCAGACGAAGAGCTCGACTTAGAAAAATTGATTGCAATAATAGACTTAGGATATAAAGGATCTGTATAAAAATGATATACGGAGGCTAGGAAATCTTTCAAAGCTACAAAAATCTGAATATAAAAACTTAGAAAACCAAAAAATATGTTCAATCTATGAAAAAATAAGGCCACACCCTAAGTATAGCCCAAATTATGACTAAAATTGACGCCCAACTTATATCGATTAATACTTTCGAACCACATGCCCAAACTAGTCTCCTAGCATATACATTCATCATTAATTCAAGATTTTCCTTAAATATTATCCATGTAAATAATTTCTGTAAACTGGCGTGTACATTACAAACGCCTATTTGTCTATACTTTAAGCATTTACAGAGACAATAATTCAGAATAACAGGAAAAGGATGCATTTTCCTGTCTGTGATTTACGGGCTAACAAGCAGTCTTTTCTAGCCCCATGCCAGAAAAGTAAAGTAAGCAAATATATAGTATGGCCTCACCTTTTCATTACACAAGTGAAGTAGACAATTCATGGTAATGGCGACGCTCAACTCCTTAGCCATATT